AAAAAAAAAAAAAAGTTGTTTGGAAAAGTGGAAATGAACTTCGAGTAAAACTTATTGTAGGATGGGAATAATGGCACTTGATAAATGGTTTGTCAGTAGAATACATATTAGATATTTAAATGTGATTGATGATTGGAAGTATAAGAGATAATGAATGGTGTACTCTTGAGATGGTTGTATAATGATGATACTTGCAACGATTAAAAAATATTTACATGTGATTCTGATCAGAAATGTGATATGCTCAGAACACGCCTATTTTAAAATTTTCATAACAAAAGAGAGCAGGAAAGAGAAGTGGAAACATTACAAGATATTTGATAATCGGGTATCACCCAATGCTTCAGCAATGAAACGAAATTACAAATCAGGCCAAACCATTAAGTTTGAATATATCTACCTTTTTACTCTCCCACTTTGAGGGAACGAAACGCCTCTTCGGTTCTGGTGCACCGGAAAGTGGTTGTCCAGCTCCATCCCACACGAACCAATCAACAAAGGGCTGCACAGAAGCCAATGATTAGAAGAAATCAGTTTAGTAAGATTAAAGAAATATAAAAATTATATGACATTGAGAAGTGAATAAAATGAGAATACACACAGCATATGGATCAAAATCAGCATGAGGCGCCTTTCCTTTCAGTACTCTGCTAATCATTTTGGTCTCTTCTTTGGTCAACTCTACTTCCTCATCATTATACTCATCATAAATCTTACGCCTGGACATGACAGACCAAAAATGGGGATATTACATCATCAAGCATCCTATTGAAATATGTAATGTAGGCTTGGGATACATAGTTCAGGCAAGTGTTACAACTTACAAGAACATGATTTCAAACAGTCATTTATTTGTAAACTCACCAACTCTTTGAATCATCAGCCCTTGCAAGATGAAAATCCAGCATGCTCTGTCTTTCTTTCTTCTTAATCTTCTTCCCAGCTAAATCATATCCGATATGCTCCTCATCCTTGTACCACTCGAGAGGAACATTTCCAACGGTGTTACGTGGTGCGACCTAATTCGTCGCACAAAAGAGAAATTTTGACCAAAGTCAGCAAAATTGATAAGTACGAAAACTTCGAGTAAATAACAGAGTTATAAAATGGCGGTGCCATGGGAATATGGCGAGGTGGATCATTTACAATCCGCCATGCTAAATTTCTGAAGGATGGCGAATATGGCGGCGGATTTCTGCCAAACCGCCATTTACCGCTGTTCGCCATTAACAACACTGGTACATAACTGATACGCTCATGCATAAACTTAGTCATCAATCTTCATGTAACTAAACAAGTAATATAGCAAGGAAAAATAAGAAAAAATCAAGTAATAGAAGACCGCTGTTAGACTAGTGTTTATAGGCTGGAATATGGAAAGCCGAAAGAGGAATTCAAAACAAACCTCGTCTTCAGAGGAATCACTCTCCTCAACTACTTCGCGAGAATCATCACTTTTACTTTCATTGCCATCTCCAGTATGACCATCTCCACGTGAATGTTCCACATCATCACTAGCGCCTCCGGGCTCATCATCATCACCTGATTGAAAGATATCCTGCAATGACGAAGAAGAAGAGAAAAACAAAAACTCCTTTAAGTAAGTACCAAAGATTGCTCATTTAAGAACACAAGAATGTAGATAAGAAGTTCATATTTCAAGTTTACGATCATGGAATGGATCAAAACGTAGTTATGGTCATATGATAAACATGGTCAGCAAGTGGTATTTAATAAAATCAGATTTGTTTAATGAGACAGGAAGACTGCAGGAGTGATTGGATATAGATTGTTTAGGAAATAAATTGTATGGAAATTGGAAATAATGAGTTAAAGTGTAAGAAAAAAAAATCTCGTGGAAGAATAAAATATATTTCAGATAGTCAGTGGATATGAGATAAAATGTAATGATCAAAGTTGTTAGTGATAGAAAATTAGTAAAATAATCAATGGTAGTTAAAAGTATGTGAGAGGATGATAAGTTAATTTGTTGAAGCATGTATAGTAATGGTAAGTTTTTATTATTTAGAGTAATTAGGGCTCTTAAATCCTTGTTTTACTGATGCGTGTCTTCACTGAAGAACTTAGAAATAGCATCTACATGATACCATATTCCAGTGCATATGTAACTCTATTTAACAACAAATGAGTTACCAACCATTTACCTAATACGAAGCATCCAAAGGACTAAGCTAATATCATAATACATAAATAATAAGCTCGCGAAGAGTTATATTTTGACATCCTACGGTATCTGTGCAATATGCAATGAGGGTATTCACTACCAAATGAAGTGCCAATGTTCCCAAGTTAATAAGACACCATATCACACCAAATGAACACTGCAATTGGGATCTAGTTTTCCAACCGCATATTTGGATCATGTTGGCCCATATTTTCGTGTGCGTTTGAGTCTGATCAAAACATTTAACATCTATAACTTTTATGTTCAAAAGACATTTCAACTTTAGGAAGTTAGTTAACCATTATGACTAGTGAAGGCTCTTCAACAAGAATAACATATGCAAAAACGAGAATCACCACCATGTACCTCATCCTCAGAGAAGTTACTTTGCTCGGATCCAGATTCACTTGATGAGCCACCTTCTTCAGATAAACTCTACAGAAAATAAGAAACAAGACGGAATTAACTAGTTACATTCTTGTTTAGCCATAGGGGCTCACTTTTCATCTTGACACAACACAACATTATACTACTTCACACAGGCAATTGTTCATTCAACAAAAAAAATAAAAAAAATTGAGAACTCTACACTAAAAGCATTATCTGACCTTTCTCTAGGTCTAGCCATTATAATCGAACCTAAAAGCATTATTGAACCAAAGTTTGTTCACTCATACAAATCGAAAGGTAAAGCCAGAGCTCCCAGTCCCACTGACAATCAAATGCTCAAGCAGATAATTGCTCTCTCCAAAAGTTCCATTCTTTGCAATCAAAGTGTTGTCTCTCACATCAAACTATGAATGTCTTCTAACAGTTTCAAGCAGTACAGCAGCCTGACTCCAACTTAATCAACCAATTAACAGCAAAAGAATGGACGCACATAGAAATTGAAGAAAAAAAAGAGAGAAAAAAAAACTATACATTACCTCGTCCTCATCGTCTTCCGATCCAGAATCAAAAGGAGAATCTTCAGAGCTCTCAGCTGCTGTCTCTGCTTCCTTAATCCTCCTCAAGTTTTCCTCCATGTTCTTCTCCTTCAACGTCTCCAAGTTTTTCTTCCCCTTGGCCTTTAGCTCCGGTTTGTTGGAGCTGTTTTCCTTCGGCTGCCTCGTCCCCATTTTTGGTCTTTGGATGTGCGCAGACATGAACTTTCAGGGTTTTATAGAGGGGTTAGCGTTTTGTCACCGTGATGGCGTCGGCAGCAAATTCAAGGGAAAAGAAGGGGCATTTAGGTAATTGCAACGCACACGAGGCGACATTTGATATATATTTTTTTAATAGAAACGATTGATATATAAATAACTTAAAAATCAGGACACAACCGGACAAACACACCACGGATTAGAGATGACCAAAATCGAGTCGAAATCGAAAAACCGAACCGAACCGTTGCATTCGGTGCAGTTCGGTTTGGTTTTTCAAGGTTTCGGGTGATGATTAAGCATCACCTCGCCTCCATTACATCGATCCTCGATTTAAAAAACCGCACCAGATTTGGTGCTATTCGGTTTAGTATTCGAAGGGTGCGAGTTTAACCCAATCACACCGAATATGTAAAAATGCAATTTATTTGTTTTGTTGGGCCATAGAGTAAAAAGGCTTTCAAGCTTATGCTTTTCTTGGGCTTTGAGTTTGGAGAGTTTGGGCCGTTTGGACATTGATTAACAATTAAAAGAACAATTTACAATTAAAAAAACTTAAAATCCTAGTTATTGAATCTTGCTTGGTCTCAGTTAAAAAAAAAAATCTTGTTTGGTCTCGTCAACTTAACTCACACAGTCACGCCCTTTCCATCTCTCTCGTCATTCTCCCTCAGGCTTAGCCCCTTCCGTCGCGGCTGCTCAACCTTTGGCGCTGTCGTCACCAGCCTCAATTAGGTCAGCTCTCAATCTCTTTTTGTCTTCTTTTTTAATTTTTCAATTCGCCCACTTTCTTCATTGTGTGACCAAGAACCCTAATTTTGTCTTTAAATTGGTTTATTTTGGGTTTTTTTAGTTATTTTCAGTTAAACCAAAACCGCACCGAACGGAACCAAAAATTTCGGTGTTGTTTTGGTTCGGTTTTTTTTAAAAGCTAGGTGCGATTCGATTTGAAATAGAATACAATTTTGGTTTTCAGTTTTTTCGGTTCAGTACGGTTTTTCACCGAACCGAACTGATGCTCATCCCTACCATGTATTAACCCAATTTACCAAGGAACAACAATTAAAAATTAAACACTCATTGAATGGAACAAAACCTCCTAAAACGGAGACTAAACTCAGACATTGGGACTAACATAACAGAACACTCTAATACAACACACATACTAATATAATAAAATCTCTCCTGCTTCTCGCGAGCCTACACACAGCTACAGTCACACTACCCAACACACAAGAAGATACTATAAATCTAAAGCCCTTAGATCTAAAAAATCCGATCAGAACTCGAATGGATAGACAGATTTGGCGAGTAAATGAGATTCAAGCCCAGATCTGAGACCAAAAGCTTCAAGTCATGAGGGAGTGCTGACGCTGGGGAAGCTCACCCGACAAACCTAGTCGGACAGGCCGCCGACTCCGATCCAGCCCCAGCCTCATAAAAGGGAGGGCGACACAGAAGACCTAGCCGTCTTCAGTCACAAACATCAGCCAGTGAGATGGCAGTCGTTGTGAAGTCCAACCCATGGCCGGGGGAGCGAGCAACCCGCTAGCAACTATTAAGGCCAATAAATCAGCCTGTGATCAGACCTCTGTTACCTAAAATAAGGTTCTGTAGAGATTGAAAATTCAACATAAAAGGCAACAAGTAGATCCTACCCTTGATATCTTTCTCCAGACATTTTCTTCCTTTTTATCTTGGCATCAGAGCCAGTGAACGCAAGCACAAAACAAATCCAACCATCATGAATTCTTTATCTCTAAACGTTAGCAACTTCATAACACTCAAACTCACTCCAACAAACTACCCTCTATGGCGAGAACAAGCTTTAGCCCTTGCTGAAAGCCAAGAGCTGGTTGAACATCTGACAGATGAAAGCTCAGCACCATCAAAATTTACCACTCCAAATAACCCTTTAGAAGTCGAACAATTCACACCACAGTTAACAAAAGAGTTCGTCGCGTGGAAAAAAGCTGACCGCCTTTTGCGGGGTTGGCTAATTGGTACATTATCGGAAGAATCACTCGGCTTGGTCATTGGAGTAGATACAACGTTCGGCGTCTGGGAAGCCCTCAAAGATGCATACGCACAAGACTCTCAAGAGAGAGAATTCACACTGAGGCAACAACTCACATATCTCCGTAAGAATGATGACAAATCCATTCAGACCATATTCGTACTTTCAAAGTCTTGTGTGACAATTTAGCAGCCCTCGAAAAACCCATCCTTGACAAATAAAAGGTATTTTACTTGCTCACTAGCCTTGGGCCGCAATATGAAACTTTTAGTACCACTATGTTGAAACCTCCTCGACCCAGTTACACTGAACTAGTGGCACAAGTTCAAAATTTTGACCAAAGACGTAGTTGGATGAACAATAACGACGTCAGTACCAATTCATTTAATACCCCAATGACTTTCTTCGGACAACACCAAAAACGTCAAGGAGGACCCTCCAAGTTCAAATCATCAGGACGAGGTTTTATAGCACAACAACCGAAAAATCTCCCTCATTCTGAAAAATTCAGCCCTCAGCCAAAAAAACCACCACCTCCTGGACAACGACGTATATCGCAAGCTGAATGAGAACTTTATCGAGATGAGACGTGCCAATATTGTGGTGTAACATGACATACTGCAAAAATTTGTTGGTGGATTCCAAAACCATCAAAGGGGGCAGATGAGTTACCACAAGCATTGGCCGCCCTCACATTGGATACCACTGTTGCTGATAATGAATGGACCTCTGATACTGGTGCCTCTAGCCATATGACAGGTAAGTCAGGTATTCTATCTAACCTCCAAAATAATTGTGGATCAGACTTTATTTTAATTGGTGATGGTTCATGCTTACCCATTGACGGGATGGGATATTCAGAAATTCGTCAAGATAACTTCAGTTTACCATTAAATAATATTTTATATGTTCCAAGTCTAAAGAAAAATTTGTTATCGGTTAGTCAACTCACTTCTGAATATCCTGTCAATTGTGAATTTACTGATAAAGATTTTTGTGTTAAGGACAGGAAAACAGGCCATCCGTTGATAAAAGAAAGGCGTAAGGGAAATCTTTATGTCCTTTCCAATCAACCTGAATTAAATTTCTCTCACCGTTTCAAGACTGTCTCGTCTAGCATTTGGCATCAGCGTTTAAGGCATCCTCAACACTCTACTTTACTAAATCTCAAGAATAATAACCTTATTCATGTCATAGGCCCAACAAAAAATGAGCGCGTTTGTGATAGTTGTCAATTAGGAAAACTTAGTAAATTCCCCTTTTAGCAATTCTGAGCATTCAAGTACTGATATTTTTGAAAAAATTCATTGCGACTTATGGGGTCCGGCTCCAGTTTTATTACTTGGTTTCTTCCGTTATTATGCATGTTTTGTTGATGATTTTTCTAAATACATATGGATTGTTCCTTTACGATTGAAGTCTGATTTATTTGATGCTTTTATCAATTTTGAACGGTATGTTGATCGGCAATTTAACAAAAAAATCAAAATACTCCATTCTGATGGGGAAGGTGAATTTGTTAATAAACTATTGTCTACGCATTTTTTGTCTTCTGGTATTATTCATCATAAATTGTGTCCATATACACTTGAGCAAACAGGTATGGTTGAACGGAGGCATCGCATGATTCGAGAATTAGGTATGACCATGTTATTTCATACTGGTGCTCATCTATCTCTATGGGTAGAAGCATTCTCAATGGTTGTGTACCTCATTAATAAGTTACCCTCTTTTGAGCTTAATTTTAATTCTCCTTACCTCATATTACACGACACTCACCCCACTTATAGCTCTTTACGTGTTTTTGGATCAAAATGCTTTCCGTATACCTGGGATACTCGGAAAAATAAGTTTCATCCTAAAAGCATACCTTGTGTTTTTATAGGTTATAGTGATCAATTTAAAGGGTATAAATGTTTTCATCCACCGAGTTAAAAAATATATATCTCACGACACGTGGTCTTTGACGAATTATGTTTTCATTATAAAGAGCGTATTTCTTTCATTAACACTGATCGTGTGAATAGTATTTTTTATTCTTGGTTGCCTACAACTAACAATTTTCTTTTGCCAGACTCACCCTCCGGTAGTGTCACGAATGACTCTAACTTTATTGACATACTTCTTTCGCTACCTCCAAATCCTACTCCAGATGTTGATCACCCGAACCATGACAACTCATCCACGCCTACAAACACTCCACAATCTGACACTACACTCGTTTTGCCTACAACTTCCAACCAAAATGATAATCCTACCCTACACACTGCTTTGTGTAATGAGCCACAAATTCAAGTTTACCATCGTCGACCACGAGCTATAGATTCTGGTTTACCATCAACCGTCCCGCTGCCATCTTCCAACAAACCACCTCAAGTTCTTCCCTCGTCAATTGAAACTGCCCCCGAACCTCGTCAGACTGAACATTCTATGCTCACTCATTCTAAAGTAGGTACCCTTAAGGCTAACTCAAAGTACGAACTAACCACGACTCTCTCAAGTAATGTCCCTCGAGAACCGACAAATATACGTGCTGCTCTTAAACATCCTGGATAGAATGATGCTATGAAAGAGGAACTTGAGGCTCTCAATCAAAACTCCACATGGTCTTTAGTTCCACCATCCCCCATATGAACATTATTGGATCAAAATGGGTATTTAAAACAAAAGTAAAACCGGATGGTTCCTTAGATCGTCTTAAAGCTCGTCTAGTAGCTAAAGGCTATCATCAACAAGATGGAATTGATTATAATGAAACTTAATTACCTGTTATCAAACCCGGTACAATTTGTTTGGTGATAACTATTGCACTCTCTAAGCAATGGCAAATTCGCCAACTGGATGTAAAAAACGCCTTTCTCCATGGATATATCTCTGAAGCTATTTATATGGAGCAACCTCCAGGTATGAAAGATTCCAAATATCCACATTATGTTTGTAACTTCACAAAGCTCTATAT